AAACATTCACATTGTATAGATACACTCCTTCACCCATCAATCGTGGGAGAACAGAAGGACAGTGTTTGCACAGGGAGGCAGCCCAGGAGCAGGAGTGCATGGGAGGGCAGGACACAGGGCAGGGGTAACTACAGGGAGGAGGTGGGAAGAGAGCTGTTACTTTGTGGGGAACTGCAGTCAGTGTCATGAGACAAAATGTGCATGAACTGCTGTGTGGAAAATGAGTTTGCTCTGTAAACTTTCATGCAAATTACAATAAAATTTTTTTAAAAAAAAGTCTGACAATAACTAGGCATTCAGCATTCTAGATGAAGCAAGACTACACAGAGAAACTTCAAGAGCAGCGAGTCCTCAGAGTGACCAAGGAGGAAGCAAAGAAATCACAACTGGGACGAGGTTTTTCTGTAAGTCATTGGACATCAGTCCTCAGAGGGGAAAGATAAAGACATTCCTTCTAGGAATAAAACCGGCACAAACAGGAAAAGGCAGTTGCTAAGAAAAACACAGGAGCTCTGGTGGCATACTGTCTAAGCCGCTTGACTGCTAACCAGAAGGCTGGCGGTTCAAACCCACCAGCCACTCCTCAGAAGAAAGTTTGGGCAATCTACTTCCATAGAGATACTGCCTTGGACACCCAAGGAGAGGGCGGTGTGAGTCGAATTGACTGGATAGCAGTGAGTTCGGTTTTTTGGTAAGAAAAAACACTGCATTGGAATTTAGGAGATGACCCCTCGTCCCCCCTCAACCGCTCCTCCTTTAGTCCTCAATGTTCTCATCTGTCAAGTGAGGGGATTCAACTAGAAGATCAATGTCAAGATCCTACCCAATCTTAATGTTCTCTGATTCTGCTAAACAGAGTCCGGAAGAAGTCAGGACATCAGAACTTGGTATGTAATTTTGCTTTCATTTTCAATAATTAAAAATGTACCTTTTAACAAGAAAATTAAGTAACAGCTTAATAAAAGTCAAATCTTACTGACTTGTCATTTTTTCTGCATCTGTTTTCTGTCACTAAAGGGTCTAATGCCCAAGTCAAAATTCTGTTGAGACCAACATGGTGGCCACCATGAAAAAAGCCCATGTGCTGTGTGTCTTCAGGGAGTTATGTAACCTCCATCTAGGTTTCTTGGTACCATGAACCATTTAAAAACATAACAAAAATATCCACAATGACCAGTGAGGCACATTTAAACTATTAAACAACTATGATCAGTAATGTGTTTTAAAGATGAAAAGATTAGCTGTTCCTAAAATTTCCTTTTGTCTTTTTCCACAGTAGGATCAATCATCCTAGCCTTATCATTTATTTCCTAGCTAAAGCACCAATTGCTTTCTTAAGGTTTTATGGCTACATCTATTCCCTTGCCTGAACTTGGCTACCAGTGCACCTTCACATGAGGTGAGAGTCGGCTCTCTCCTCTGTTGGTAAGCGTGGTAGTTCAGTTTGTGTGTCAACTTGGCTGGGCCTGGTTGAGTGGCTGGGCAGCTGGATGGAGTATTCCCCATGATGAGACTGGTAATCAACTCCATGGTGGAATCTACTGTGAGCAGCTGAGTGGCTGCCTTAGGGATGTGGTCTGCTTCCTGAATATAAGGAGAAGCCTTTGAGAATGGTCTCTAGCCTATGGCACACTTGAACCCTGCATGTAGCCATGTCGTTCAGCAGCCTGCCATGCTCTGCCGACCTTGGGACTTACATTGGACTTGAATTAATGACCTGCTGTGTGGTTTGGTAACATCGGGATGGTGCCTTTTGACTTGTCAACCTTGAGCTTGGCAGCCTCAGCAGCCAGCAGCTGTCTGAGTGAAGAAAAGCCTCCAGCTTCAGTGGTCCGGGAGCAGGAGGCAGAGCTGGACCCTAAGGTTGAGAGACATTCACCCAGCCCCTAGAGCCTGGCACTTTGAACTTGGATGTAAAGCCTCCAAACTGTAAGAGAATAAACCGTTTGTTAAGGCCATCCCATTTGTGGTATATTCTTGTCAGAGCAGCAGACAAGAACAGTAAGCCTTTCCTTGGTCTGTGCCCACTTCCTTATGCTTAGAACCTGCACCTGCAAGAACGGGGGCTGCAAGCTCTCAAACAAACAGATGCATACAAAATTAACTTCTCACTTAGCCAAAGTTGCTCTGGTTGAGAACAGGTGACAAATCATATTAGGAGGAGGTGTTCATGTAAAGGTGTGTATTTCACCATAGAGATGTCATATTTGGGGCCACCGCTGAGACTAGACAGAATCTGTTCCACTTCTAACCAAGACTTCTATCTTCTTAAATTTAGGCATGACTAATGATAGCTCTACTAGCATAGTGCCTAAGGCATTTGATTGCTAACCGGAAGGCTGGCAGTTCAAACCCACCAGCCACTCCTCAGAATGAAGACGGGCAATTTACTTCCGTAGTGATACTGCCTCGGAAACCCAAGGAGGGGTCTCTATGAGCCGAGTCCAACTTGAGGGCACATAACAACAACAACAACGACGATAGCAAAGAGAAATACATTCCACTAGGGCAGAAAGGAGGTCCTATCAAAGGAATAAAAACAGACAGATGGAGCATTTAATCACCAAGAGCTATCTGGACTCTGGCATTAATATATAACAATCCTGAGGAAACACACCGAACGGGACAAAATCTCCACTAAAGTACACACACACACACACAATGGTGTCTCACCCACCACATTGTCAGTACAAAGAGAAGAGTGAGCAGAGTATCTCCTACTGTTCTTTGCACAGCCCACATTGTTCATCTCTCTTATTCCCAACAGACCAATGTGTGCTTTAGCAACATGTTTGCCCAATCAAACCACTGACTGAAATGAGTATACAGGAGTCAATCCAGGTGACCAAGTGCAGAAACACAGTGGCCCTTCCAGTTTTACTGATGTCACTTTTATTTTTCTTCTGTCATTTTTTGCCGAACTTTTCCCAACATTCACCTACTATGAAATACATGGTAAGCAAATTATCAGATATTTAATTTTACCAAATAACATCCAAATAGCTGACTTTGTACCACAATACCAAAAATGGGGTGATCTTCATTTGTAAAACTCACTTTGGTCATTAATACTGATTGCCCCATGCTACTATTTACTGACAGGCTCCAATTTGCATTTAATGGCTAAAAAATATGGGAATGGAAAATACACACCAAAAATACGTATGAGTAGGAAGAAATCATAGATCCCTATAAAACAAGGGTCTTAAAAGATGCATGAAAGGAAATGAGGTGGCCCTCCATTGTGCTATAAGGTCCTGAAGTCAGCATCAAAGCTTTAGGATTAAATATGTAAAAGGAAAGCACCACATGAAAACAAAAGGGTGAGATTGGAAATAAAGATCAAACTCATGAAAGGAAGAATCAAACACGACTTGTGGATGAATGTCAATGTTGTTACTTTTCTACCAAACTGACACCACTTCTTACAGAACGAATGGGAAACTGGGCAGACAATGCCATCCAGGGATAAACCCCACTTTAACGAAGGCTGAACGTGCGTGAGAACAGACTGAAACAATCTGATGTCAGTCTATGCAACTTAGGGTTTCTAGAAATAATTTTTACTTATTATGTAAGCACTGTACCTAAAAAGCTGAAACAGTTTTGGATTTTGTTCTTAATACAATGAAATAGGTGAAAAGTTTTTTGTGTAAAATGTAAGTTAAGAACAACAGAAGCTGTTTATTACAGATATCAATTCAAATGTTCTCTCTGAATAACAGCATTTCTGATTTTTACAAATTACCAATTGGTATAAAACTATAAATTAAAGATAAAGGCACTGGTAAAACCAAAAACCCCGTCAATAAATTCTCACTCTAAAACAAAACATTTAAAATGATTTAAAAACCATAGTATCATATAAAAGTAAGAGAAAAGTCAACAGAGAAGTATTAACACACAAAATATTCAACCACAATAATACAATTCTACAATTTACTAATACTGATGATTAACCTCCAATTACGTTTATCCCTTTCCCTCAATGAACTTACCCAACATTTTCCGCATCTTCATCACACTCAGCTTTGTATTTGCAAGGTCCACACTTGGAGTGTTTTCTGTGAACTTCTGCCCCAGACCCTTCCTCTTCTGTTGAAAAAGAAAAACCAGGTGTTGATCTTTCATCACTAGAAAACTGTATATGACTATGACATAGACTGAGGTCACCTTGTTTCTGAAATATAAGTAAATCATTTATGTTGTGCTAATAAAGTTCTTTCTACTAAACATCAGATTTTCAACCAAAAGTTAGCATCATTTCCAGATGTGTTTCATGTTTTTAGTCGCCATTATCCTGCTTCTGTTTTCAAGCTCTTGAAAACATTCACTTCCAAAATCTATCACTGCTTTAGTCCAGAAATCTTGCCTCCACAGAGCACAGTATATTCTCTGAAGAAAAGCAAGGACAGGTGCTAGAAAAATCACCTCTTCAGCTGTGTACACAGGAACACTGTAATAGATTTTGATAACTAACTGCTTTTAAGAGAAGTGCCACATACATTAAATAAGAGAGAAAAGATATGAGCAACAAATGGAGTCCCATGAGTGCCCTACAGGTACAAACAGGCCTGTGGATGCTGGTCAGCAGGCAAGTGCTTGAACCCAGGGCTGTGCCTAAACCCAGGGCTGTGCTTGAACCCAAGACTGCATAACCATCACCCTTTCCTCACATCCATTTCACACTTGCCTTTTAATGGCAGAGTTCAAAAAAAATACTTATCTCCAAAACTTAAAAGTAAAGGTGTCTCTTTACAAAGCACTTGCCCTTATTCTACTGTGCCACGGCCAAAAACACCTCGATGCAGAAGTATGTGGGTCTCCCACCATCCAGCATGAAAAACAGTGGATACCACGAGTCCCCGGTCAGCTCACGTCCCACACTCGAGGGGACCTCCCATTTATGGGGCTGGCCCAGAATGGATCTTATCCAGACACTCTCAACCTGGGCAGGGAGGTCAGTTCGGAGGCCACGTCAGGAATTTCAGGGTACTCAAGGGCTTTCCCAATTTGGTTATGGAAAGAACACAGTTCAAAGGCTCTCGATCAGTAAGGAAAGTGTTAAAAGAAAGGCCATAGAGCTAACAAACCTGTCTGTTAATGCGTCCAGCTTTGGAGCCAGCCTGCACTTTAAACAGAAATCATGCCCAAGCGCACATGCACACCTGCTAACCAAGTAGATTCCACCAATCATGACCCCAGGGGTTTATGAGGCCTCAGAGACACCATGTGAGCCAGGAGGACCAGTCGCCATGAGCTCACTAGCTTGTCCGCCAATCTTCCTTAGCCCTGCTCACTCACACTCCCTCAACAAAGGTGTAGCTACACGCACAGGACAAGTCATCCTGTACTGTGCTATATAATCAAATCCTGAGATCAACTTCCACTTCTTTAAAAAAAGAACAAAGACAGTTTCCTGATTCAATATCACACCACAGAGGCTAGAACACACAATCTCTCAAAATCCTTTCCAGCTCTAGAATTTATGATCTGATCATTCCCACATAATCATGGAGGGTCTGCTTGAACATGTTAGGTTTAAAGCCAATATTACTGTTCAACAGCTTTAATCTTTTTTTTTTTCGCTGAAATTGTCACTTCTTCTTCATGACAGTTCGTGTGTTCTCGAAAACCAAAACCAAACCAACTGCTGTTGAATCGACTCTGTCCAGAGTCCCCACTTGTTTCAGGGTAGAACTCTGCTCCACAGGTTTTCAATGGCTGTGAACTCTCCAAAGCAGATGGCCAAACCTTTCTGCTGAAGCATCCCAGTGGACTCGAACCGCCAACCATTCAGCTAGTAGCCAAGCACTCAACTATCTGCACCACCCAGGACTCCTCTCCTGCTCTGTCATAAAACACCAAACTCACTGCCATCAAGTTGATCCTAACTCATAGTGACCCCTACTGGGTTTCCAAGGCTATAAATCCTTACAGAAGGAGCCTGTCACATCTTTCTTCCACAGAACAGCCGGTGGGTTCAAACCACCGACCTTTTAATTAGCAGCCAGATGCCTTAACCACTACACCACCAGAGCTCCTGCTCTCCAGGCAACCTTTACTGTGCTCCCTGCTCTGACATTTTTGGAGTCTACGAAATCTGGAGTAAGGTTACAGATAAGTGCTGACAGGAGAGTAACTATAGTTATCATTTGTAGAAGTGTGAATTTTACTACAGTAGGAGCTCTGGTAGCATAGTGGCTA